AGTTTGAATACCAAGTCAAATTGCATGAATTACTATCCAAATCTTTCTCCCTCCGCTCCACTTTTTTATAATTAGAACTGTTTAAATAACTTTAAAATTTACTCAATCTATTTGTAAATATAAATATATTTTATATAATTTATTAATTTGGATTTAGAAGTTTTATATTTAATTGATTGTCTATAAACAAACTAAATGAACTTTCTTTTTCTTTTCTTTTTTTTTTTCCAATCTCTAATGTATTCTAGGCTCAAAAAACTAAAATAATCTCTTACTATGTGATCTAACGCATAAAGATAGATACAACTACTATATGAGTTTTTTGTATATATAAATATTTGAAATCGAAACTAATTATTTAAACGATTGTAATCTTTTTTACTCAAGTCAATCATTTTGAATAAACAAAATCACCTTTGATAAAAAAAGAGAATGCACTAAATATCGATAAGGATAAGGATTAATGAGCTTATCATCCATTCCACAACAATAATTCAAGAATAAAATTTTCTTTTGAAAAAAGAAATTAATACAAATATAAATTGACTTCGAAACCATTTGTCTCAAATAGGAGTAAAAAACATTTATCCTCAAATCCAAAATGGGCCAAGCTCCATAATTAACTATTTTTTCACCAATCTATTTTATAAACGAAAGTCTTTATTCTTATATCTCCTTGAATCCATGCATGATTGTACTGTCAGTCAGTGCAGAAATTCTGGGCATTCCCAAATGTATGTATCTAGGCATCATGGAAGCTTTCCTAAAAACTTGGACATGTGCCCGCTGACCCTGCCCATATAATGATAATGTCTTCTTATTTTTTTATATGAGGATGAAAGGTATTTTAATATAAGCTCTTGTGTCAAATAAAGATTAAATTTTCTTTTCAACCAATCTTAAAACCACGTTTTACTTCAATCTCTGTGTTTGTGTATTTAAAGAAATTTATAAAACTTTTGAAATACTAGTTTTAAGATTTTAACAAAATAATACTATCAATCAAATAAAATTTAAACTCGTAATCGTTTAATAATTAAGATACAATTAAGATACTGATATAAAATAAAATAAAATATTTAAATCAAAAGGCTTAAGCTATTATTATATTAGACTTTAAAAATAATTTTATATTATTCTTTAATAAAATATTTATCTAGTTTCGATGTACTTCTATGTGATTCTTCTAGATTTATTTTTTTGTCTATTTCACGCTGGTATTGTTGAATTATATATTTAATTTTTTTACTCATCTTAATAATTTTTTAAATGAAAAATTGAATATTTATTTAATAAGATATTTGATATTTAAAGTTTGTTAATGATAACTTGTAATAGTATTTGTAGGTACTAAGAACCGTTTGTTACACGAGACAACACGAGATAGACAATACAAATTATTTTGTGGAGCTGTTTGAAGCACGCATCGGATACGACAAGAGATGGTTTTTGTCCAGTCTCATGCCTCAAATTTTGCCCCAACAACCCCTCCTAGGACAAGCTAATTTGTGCTATCCTGGGAGATAAAAGCTAGGCTTATTAAACTAAAAAATCATATTTTTTATATACTTTTTAATTATATAAACATATTTTTTTAATATTGGATAAAAAATAAATAAATAAATTTTTTATTAATCATATTAGCACTCATGAAATTTTCTAATCAAAATTTTGTTTTAATGTGTTTTTTCTCTCCCATCATGTTAGTCGATAACGTAATTTTAACTAAAAAAATTCACACGTGTTAATATATTTAACAAAAGTTTAATTTATGTATTTTCTATCTAATATTGAAGGAACGTACTAATATGATTAAAAACTATATGATTTGTGTTTTTTGTTTTTTTCAATAAGCCTAAAAGTTATCCAAGCATCATTCTTCTACCATGCATACTCATTTCTCATAAATTTGAAATTAGCATTCACTCTTTTGGACTTGAGCAAAGTAATAAAATAACTATCTAATAAATTAATAATTAAGCATAGTAATAAATAATTAATAATTAATCTTAACAAATAAAAAATAATTAATTTATTTATGAAAAAATAAGAACTAAATAAAATAAAATAATATGATTTATTATTTTTTTAACGTAAAGTAATTCCATGACTTGAACACAATTAAAAAATCATTAGATTATTAATATTGGATTTATATACATGAGAAAATACAAGGGTATTATATATAGCATGTTGCTATATCATGTCTCATAAACATAATAATTATCCTATCTATCTAATCTAAAATGTACCAAACAAAAAGACAAATATAGTAATATATTTTATTATATATTGTTATGAAACTAATCAAATCAAGTAAGAAGACGAGGAGAAATAAAAAACAATCACGCAATGTAAAAGATTTACATCCATAGCTACTCTAAGAGTTTTTATCAGGGTTTCTTAATCGGTGACAATAAATATAAAAGATATCATCTCTATTTATAGCGTAGATAACTACCGTTATTAGGGTTGATCATTCGGTTTTTCGTTTTAGTTTCGATGTTTTTTTTCTATTTTTTATTAACTAAATTGGTAAAACAAAAACCAAAATCGAACCGAATTGAGATTCGATTTTTTGATTAAAAAATCATTTTTTTTTACATTTTTCTTTTAAAAACCGAATTATTTTGCTTTTAAAAAATATCAAACTTGTCTAATAAAAGATTGCATATTTCACATTTATTTTATAAGAAAATTCTGTAAGATTATTTTTTTTTTATACTAAATTTGTTTCTATTTATATTATAAATTAAATTGGTTGGACTTCTCATTATTTTTTCAATCACGCCATAACTGATTTTTTATTAATTTTTCATAGTCTTCTTAATCTACTTATTTTGTGCATATTTTATTAGTGAATAGATAATTTGAAAAATCTAATTTTTAATTTATGTTTAGTATAAGTATAAAAAGAGTGAAAAAATTATTATTGTTAGTTGTTATTAATACTACTATGGTACTCGTTATAAATGCATCCGCTTCGGATCAATTTTTTTAGGGGATATTTTTGTGCCAATTTTAGTACAAGAAGACAAATTTTTTCCATGAGGTTTTAGGATTCACCTACACATAAATTTATGTATTTATAAAGAATTACGTTATCACAATTTTTTTTTATTTGTTTGAGAGTCAATATAATATAATCAATTATTTTATTATTTCAATAAATAATTAATGAAAAATATTTTTATTTTAAGTAGAAAAAAAATCATTAAAGCTATTGTTCTTTTAGTTAAATCCATAGGTGCCTCTTTTATTTTTTTTTTTTTAAAAAGAGCTTGGGTATGTGTTAAAAAAAAAAACCTAATTAGGTTTTGGTTTTTTTTTTTTAAATCGAACCGAAATAGCTAATTCTGTTCGATTCAATTTGATTTTTCGGTTTCAATCAAATAATGCTGATCCCTAGCCGTTATTGAAAAAGAAAAAAGACCTTATGGACCTATACAATCGACCCCACCCTCTTATCAAGGTCTTTCAATTGGAGATAATAAATATAAAAAATACTATCTCTATTTACAGCATGGACAATTATTGTTACAAAAAAAAAAAAAAAAACTTTATAGAACTATACAATCGACGCCACCCTCTTAATCTTTGATCGATGTGTGTTTTTGTAGAAAGGCTGCTATGCTAACTTTGCAGAAAGTGCTAAACTACAAATCGTATTCACATCAATATTTACAATTTAACATATATTACATATTTTGTAAACAGGATAGCGTACATCGGAAGCTCTTTCTTTCTTTTTTCCTCGAAACCTGTAGGTACTAATCACATCCAATTTCCTCAGCACAACCTTCCCACGAGTACCATTATTATGAGATTAACATAATGCAAGAAATGTCAACTTGCATTTTAAAGCTCCTTTAATTTCAAGTTTCCACACTTTCCTTTTATCCCATGATACTCAATGAAAACGTAAACATATTTAGGCAGTTTTGGATAATTAATTAGTGAACGTTAATCAATGATGATGCCTGCTTTTTTTCGTTCTTATCTTCCTATCTCCCCAAATTAATTACGCACTTTGCCAATTAGGTAACTACAACTCCTTTCCAAGGTAAATATTTTCAGGTCACGCTAGCAAAGTTACCGTGTTTTTCTTGTTTTTACTACAAAATGAATCTAAAGGCAGAATGACAGAGAAAAAACTTTATCATAGTTTTGATTCCTTTCTTGCCATTATCACTTACCAAAAATGTAATTTTTCTTTTATTAGGAAAATATTTTATAGCAAATATCCATAAATAAATATAAAAAATTAAAGTGAGCAAACGTCAATAAGTGTGGGTGTGAGTTTGACCATGAAACAGGGACAATTGCTGAAAGTTGACCACTCCACTCCACGTCATCTAGGGGCACTACGGTAATTTCAATAACAGAAGAAACCTCGAGTTTCCAGATGGGCAACGCGGGTGTAGATATTTTCTCCCGTGACCGAAATTTTAACTCTTTTACACGTTTTCTGCTGTTTGCTCTTTAATTATCAGCCATGAATAAAAGGCAATGGACCGTTTGACACAGGATAAAGAGCTGTACCTTCCCAAACTGCCCTCATTAAAAGCAGCCTCTCAAATCCCTATTCCAATTTTTTTTCTTACAAATTTTAAAAAATAATTAACAATACATACTTCATAGCTATTTTGAATAAAAAACGGATATAAGAAAAAAAAATACATTTCGAATATTAAAAATATTTATAAAGTTATATAAAAACAAACACATATATACATACTTCATAGCTATTTTAATTTCTCTCTTATTTTTTATATTTATCTTTTTTATAAATAAATATTATTAATTATTCGCGTATTAAATTAAAATTTCTAGAACCTAAACCTCCTAAACCCTTCTTCCTCTCTCTCTCTCTCTCTCTCTTCCTCTCACTATTTATAGAGAGCGAAACTCACAGTGAGTCAACATTTTTAGTGAGAGAAACTAACTCAAAGCACAAAGCAAAACAAAACAAAACCCAGTTTTGTTAGAGACGCAAAAACATGGCTACTCACTTACCTGATGATTTCAAGTGTCCAATTTCGCTTGAAATCATGTCCGACCCGGTTATTCTCTCTACGGGTCATACCTTTGACCGCTCCTCAATTCAACGGTGGCTGGACTCCGGCCACCGTACTTGTCCAATTACCAAACTCCCCTTGCCTCAACACCCTTGTCTCATTCCCAACCACGCCTTGAGAAGCCTGATTTCCAGCTTTACCGTCCCAAAATTGCAGCCAGACCCGAACCCGTACCGGAACCCCAACCCAAACCCATCGAAGAAATACCAAACCCAGCTCTTAATCTCCACTCTCGTATCCCCATCTTCGACTCTGGAGTCCAAGCTTCATTCGCTGAGTCAAGTCACTAGACTCACAAAGCTCGACCCCGGTCTCCGACGCCAACTCACCGAGTCTGGCGCCGTCTCAGCGGTTCTAAACTGTGTCAACTCGACCGAGTGCGAAATCCAAGAGAAAGCGCTGGCCTTCCTCCTTAATCTCTCTCTTGATGATGATAACAAGGTGGGCCTTGTAGCAGAAGGTGTAATTGGTCTGGTCATAAATGTTATCCGGGTCGGGTCGTCAAGTTCCCGGGCCATTGGTTGCACAATTTTGACAAGCTTGGCTGTTGTAGAAGTAAACAAAGCCACAATCGGAGCATACCCGAATGCGATAAAATCGCTTATTTGGGTTCTTTATAACGGAAAAGGGCGTGAAGTGAGGGAAGCAGCCACTGCATTGTATGCAATTTGTTCATTTGTTGATAATAGAAAGCGTGCTGTGGAGTGTGGAGCTGTTCCAATTTTGACGAAAATTGGTGGGATGGGGCTTGAAAGAGCGGTGGAAGTGCTGAGTTTGTTGGTCAAATGTAAGGAAGGGAGGGAGGAAATGAGGAAGGTTAATGGGTGTTTGAAGCTTTTGGTTAAGGTTATTAGGAATGGGAGCGAAAGAGGGGTGCAATGTGCGCTTTTTACCTTGAATTGTTTGTGTTGTTTCGCCGAGGAAATACGCATTGAGGCAGAAAAAGATGGGGTTTTGGAGATTTGTGTTGGTTTTTTGGATGATGATAATGAAAAAATTAGAAGGAATGCGTCGAGTTTGGTGCAAACTTTAAGTGGTAGGGGGTAGCATGAGGAGATTATGGGTGGAAGGTGAAGATTGTTTGAGGGATGGAGTTGAATTTTGGGGTTTGTTTTGGGGTATGGGGTTATTTGGGTTTGTTGGATGGATAGTTTTGTGTACAAAAAAAGGATCAGAGGTTTGATAGGGGATATGGAATATGTTTTTTTTTTTTCTTTGTAGTTTTGTAAATTTTAATAAGTCAAATCTCTGAAATTTAATGGTTGTGGTTGAAAAGGTTTCAAATTGGAAAATTTTGCCTCCAATCTGCTTAAAAATTTTTTTTTATCCCTTTTTAATCGAAGGGTTTTATAGGTGTTTTTATTTTGAAGTTGGAAAAGGAGTATCCGAATGGTAATTTATTGATATGGCGACTGTTTCTGTTCTTTCAAATACTGGGATTGAAGATAGTTGGAATGTAAAAGGATACAATAGGATGCTGTTTGTTTGTTCTAATGTATTAAATTCAAATCCTTTTATCTTGAATGAGTGTTTTAGATGTTAGCTATGCTGGTTGTTCGTTATAATTTGTTAATTGGTTCCTTCCTTTTAAGCTTGAATGAGTGATTTAGATGGTAGCTATGCTGGTTGTTCGTTATAATTTGTTTCATCGGCTCCTTTTAAGCTTGAGTGAGTGATTTAGATGGTAGCTATGCTGGTTGTTCGTTATAATTTGTTAATCGAATCCTTTTAAGCTCGAATGACTGATTTAGATGGTAGCCATGCTGGTTGTTCGTTATAATTTGTTAATCGTGTCCTTTTAAGCTTGAATGAGTGATTTCGATGGTAGCTATGCTGGCTGTTCGTTATAATTTGTTAATCGGGTCCTTTTAAGCTTGAATGAGTGGTTTAGATGCTAGCTATGCTGGTTGTTCGTTATAATTTGTTAATCGGATCCTTTTAAGCTTGAATGAGTGGTTTAAATGGAAGCTATGCTGGTTGTTCGTTATAATTTGTTAATCGGATCCTTTTAAGCTTGAATGAGATATTTAGATGGTAGCTAAGCTGGCTGTTCGTTATAATATATTATGGATCCTTTTAAGCTTGAATGAGTGATTTAGATGGTATTTTTTTAGTACATAAAACTTTAAACTCATCATCCATGTTCAATAATTTGCCTCATCATTGCTGTCGTTCTTTCGTATCGTGAGTCTTATTGCTTGCTCTATTTTCCTATTGTATGCATTGATATATTTTCTCCTCTTTGACATTGCTTGGGTTGCTATTTGTTTTTCACTGAGAATGCAAGGTTATGGGATTGGCATGAACTCTAGCTTCTTGTATGGATAAAATTATGCATTTACATAGATAATGGCATGCTTTGTTATATTACGAATTTTCCCAATACCATAGGTCTTGTGTAGGTATGAATCTATAGAAAGATTTGATAAGCTGTGATCTTCAATGTCTTGATTGACAATAGTTCCTTGATTGGCTTTGATGATTTCTGCAAATATCGATGTTTATATTTCCGTAGATTTTCTTCCTGTTGTTCCTCAAGGGTTTCTGGTTGTTGTAACTTGGTTTTCTGTTAGTCGAAGTGTTTTTGTAGAAATTGATCATATGTTGCTCCTTTGTTCACTGATTACTGCCATGTTGTGTTATAAAGTTGGTTGCTCTAGCATTTCATTCCAGAATTGCTTGCTTCTAGGAAAGTTGTGTTGTGCTTTTCCCCTTCGGTAGTATTTGGTTAGCAACTGTCCGTAAATGGTCTTGTTTGTCTCACAACTGGTGGTTTAGTTTCACAGAGCTTGTTTCTAATGAGTTGCATGCTTTACTATCATATGTGAAGTCTGTCCCTTGTTAACTTGACCAGTTAAAGCTATGTATCTATACTCATGCATTGACGTGGGAGAGGAAGGATGGATCGACTCATCATATTGTAGTCAGCCTGAAAGCAAACATTATAGTTGAAAGTGCGTTCAACTCAAGAGATTAATTAAACGGCGGACAGTGGTTTGGCTGAATCATCTGTGGGTTCTGTGATTTATTCTTTCTCCGATCAGGAATCAGGATAGCATTTGGTGGAGGGTATGGTCTATAATCAATTCGGCCGAAATGCAGATGAACTCAAGGATACCTGTATGTTCTCTTCTACAATCTACCGTTAAGTTGCTATGGTCACATCGGTCGGTAAGTCTCAAGTTCCTTTGTCAATCTTACGTGAAACGTTTTGGTGAAGCTGGTATTGGTTAGGTTGATTGTGGTTTAGATTCTGTTCAAGTCATTGGAAGTAGCATTGAAGCATCTTAAACTACTACATCCAAAGGCACCTTCTTGGCAGCCAAATTTGACTTGGTTTTAGCTTTATTTTACAGACTTACACGGCTGGTTTGAAACATTTTAACATGTGAATTTATCTCTTCGTGTGAAAAGTTGACGGGGGATTGGATTTCTTTTCGCAAACAAGATGAGAAACTTTTTCTTGTTTTGGTGGTTAATAGTTAGGCATGCGTGGATTAAAATAATTGGTAAAAAGAAGCATCAAGCCGAAGTGAATCTCTCCTCCCACAAGTAAAGTTCATGCTTTCACTTTGGTATCTATCCATTGGTAGAATATATATAAGAAACGGCCATTGTGTGCTAATCCAAAACTCTAAAGGATAACGTTTTGTCCCAACCCTTTTTTATTTGGGTCATTTTCAATCTTTGTTTCTCTCTTCCTTTCCCTTTCTTTTACTTGATCTAGACATTCCCATCAAAATAAACTGTAAGACCAATAAAAACATAACAGATTGGATCAAAGAAGGGCTTTCAATGGGATTGGGAGATTTGAGTAGTTAGTGTCCCCCCGACAGGTTGAACTGTATGATGGAAAAGTGAATTGTTCACTGCCTTTTCGGGTCAGGCGCCATAGAGCATAGCGAGGAACTGCTGAATTGGCTAAGGCTGGGTTTGTTTTATTTTTTTCATTTTTCGATATTTATTTCACATTTAGAAAAAAAATCAATGAAATTCGATTTCTAATGAACAAAAATTAATAAACTATTTTTGAAAAAGTGATTTTCGAAATAAAAAGAAAAAAAATATTTTTCTAAAAAATAGTTTTTTAGAATTATTTTTCATATTGGAAGTTGTTTTTCATCAGACAAATGGAGACTAAGCTAAAATGGTGTTTAAGCTAAAATGGTGTTGGACCTAGGTTAAGGTGCCCTATCTATATCGTTTTTCTTAGGAAAAAAATTAAAAAAATCTGTAGCTTTGGGTACACGATACATGATTGGATAGGATTATTGGTGTTTTATTTTTTTGTTCTTTTTTATCGGAAAGATAATGTCATTCTATCATTAATAAAATCCAAACAAATAAAAGCTGGACAATCTAAGTACAAAGCATCATCCTCATATATAACGACCATTCGTGATCTACAAGGACTGTAAGCTTGTGAGGCAATTTCCTTAGTTGCTTGGGTAGCTTTCAAAATCTGCATCTTGGTGTTAATTAGAGAAGATAATGATGTGTTGATTGGTCAGCCAATCAGAATCTATTTTATACTCTTGGAGTACACTATTTTGATTCTTCCCTTTCAAGGATTACGAGTCTTTTGTTTCAAAATGTAATTGGAGTTGCTATCACCAGGAAATATTGTTTGTAATTCCTTTTTCCTTTTGGCGTTAAGCCCAAGGAGGGAGCTGGCAGTAGCAATTCTAGAAAGCTAAATAAACAAATGTGGGTTATGTTTTCTGGGCCTTCTGTCTACTGTTTAGGCATTATGAGCTTAGTGTGGGCTGACTCTTGGTTTAATTGGTTATGTTATTGGGGTTTGTCCAACACTTCTGGGCCCTTATGAACCCTAACCTTTTCTTACTAATGAAATATGATAAAACTCTTTATATAGTTGTATTTTTATGTCCGATAAAATAATCAGGAATTAATTTAAATTTTTATATAGTTATGCAAATATGCAAAGAGACTAGGAATTTGAACCAAGGCTTTCTTCTTACAAAATCAATTTGCAAGTTCAGATCTAAGACTTTTTTTTAGCACATAGAGCTAAGCTCTGAAGATGAGTGTATACTTGTGTCTTTGATAATGAATTGGTTTAAAAATATCCAACTTACCTTCCTACAACATGATTGTGTCACACTCCCCTATTTGATGGATCCTTGAAAAGGGTTAGACTGAGTTTCCCATGAAGTCCTAGATCGGTGCCAATATCATTTCTTGAGTAGGGCATTTCTTTGGTGGTAGACCAAATCTTTTTTATTTTTTTTTGGAAGAAGAGTCGGATCAATATGGCCACAGTAATGCAAAGCAACTACGTTGTGCGTGTGAGAGAGAGAGAGAGTGGTGAATCCAAAAAAGGGCAAGAAAACTTCCATAATGCTATCCTCCCAAAGGCCAACAAATACAATTACAAATTTACAGCCACCCAAAAAAAGCCATGATTGTGGAGTAGAAGGCTCTTTTGTGTTTTTGGAAATAAAAGGGAAGATACGAGAAGACATTTGGTCTCCCCTTTAAGAAAGCAAATGCTCTTTTGGGTATGATGGGAGGGGCCGTGACATGGTGGCATTCGTAGAGCTAAAGCCAACCAACCTATACAAACACTCCTCTAAAAAGTTACATGCGGATGAACCATCCCAATACTGTTGATAAAGTGGTTGAAAGCTTTTTTTTTTTTTTTAAATATATTTTTCACTTAAAAAAACAGTAAATTAGTGTTTTTTTTTATGGTTTTAAAATTAAGATATCAAAACCATTAAAAAACATTAAAAAAATACTATTAAAACCCATGAAAACATTAATTTAATAGAATTTGACAAGATGATAGTTAAAAGATAATATAAATTAAGGTCTTATCTAACGAGTGAGATAATATATATAAAACATTTTTATATATTATAGAATTGGATGTAATTTTTTTTTTCGAATAAGATGATCCTTTGACAATAATATTTGACACATACAATACACACCATATATATATATATATATATATATATATATATATATATTCATCAGATTTGCGTCTCCCCTCCCTCCATAAAACGATCTTATATGATTTT